GCAAACTCGCAGGAATCTGCTGCCTGCTGGTCAGTCTTTCAAGCACCACTAACGAGATTAATGAGCCAGATAAAGAAGATTTGAACAATGGGTACCTAGCCTTCACATTGCCAGGGTACATTCTTCAGAAATGAGGAGAATGATTAAACTCCAGCATTTGCCCTGCCAACTCTATAGAAAATCAGAATGGGGTAAGGGCAGAAAGAGGGGTCCTTTCAAGAATAACTGCAGTTTGGGGGTCCCTCCCTGGTGGTGCAACAGGTTAAAGTGCAGCACTATGAACCTAGCTGCAGCCACTGCAGCAAAAGTTTGATCCCTGGCCGGGGAGGTAAACCACATGGCGAGGCAGACCTCTCCTGTCTCACCCACAGGCCCCCCCCCAGCAGTGTCTTTTGTTGATCTGCCTGTTGTGCTCCCCACTCTGTCTTGGTGAATCCTCTCACTGTCCCTGCACCTCTGGCCAGTATCCCAGTTCTGTATTGCATGAATAAATAAACCTTAAAAAAAAAAAGAAGAATTGCAGTTTTTCAGGTCAATTCCTATCATGTCTATGTAGATGCCATAATTAAATTTGGCTGTTTTCTCCCACTAATTTGATATTTGCTTATTCAACCAAGTGGAAGAAAAGAACCCACAAAAGTAAGGGGAACTCTCCCTTGAGGTCTTAAACTTCAATCACTTCTTTTTATGCCGAAATGTCTTTAAATATGTGATTTTTCAAGGACTCTAGCCTCCCACTTAACTCCAGTTAACACCTCCCATTACTGTGCTGGTCCCTTTACATACATGATCTTATCCAACCCTCCTACACCCAAAGGGTGAATCCTTTTATCCCCATTCTACAGATGGGAAATTGAAGTGGACAGTTATTTGGCACATCAGACAACTTGAATAGGTAAAGCTGGGATGAAACCCTACTGTAGCCCCCAACTTGTGACCTTATGACTCTACGTGTATCATCTCAGTTACCTCTCCTTTTACTCCCCTCAAGTCAGAAACTTTCTCTATTTTAAATGGAGGAGAGGGTAACACAAAATAAGAAAGTAAAATCAGTTGAAATTAAAAGTCCTAGGTCTCAGATTTGGTGTTATTTTATTATAAAAGAAAACCACCAGTCTCTCAGGGTATGGGTGTGTATTCGTGTGAATTTATATGCACACACTCTCTGTTTTACCTAAGCCCACCTTAAAAATGTCCAGACCCCAAAGCCCAGGTCCCCAGGCTGGTGAGATCTGGAGCTGCCAGGGGTTCTCCCTTGCTGTAGTTGAGATGACATTACTAGCTAGTAGGGAATGAGTTTAATTTTTCCTTCCGCTCAGTCACAGCATCAAGAAAGAAAAGGGAATCCTGCCTTCTCCATTGGCAGCAGGAAGGCTAGGTGTTAGGTTTCCTTCCTGTTAGGTGGGTGACGAAGTTTCAAGTGGCCCCGGTCACATTTTCCCATAGAGCCATTTCACAGGCTGCTGGCAGGTTCCTGGTCCTACCTGACAGGTCCCTGGCCTTATCTTGCAGGTCCCTAACCTTACCTGGCAGGTTCCTGGCCTTATCTGGCAGGTCCCTGGCCTTACCTGGCAGGTCTCTGACCTTACCCAGCAGAACTGGGAAGGACTGAGTCCTTGCTCCCTGCTTCAGATTTTAGGAATGGGCTTTCCCCCAATAATCCCCTTCCATTAGTTCCTGAAGTATGGACCATTTCTATCTGTACACCCCATTTCTGGTCAGCCCAAGTGGTCATTATTATAAAAGATAACCACCAATAATTTTATGGGCTCTCCCTAGGGGTGCAACGGGTTAAGAAGTCATGGGTTTCACTTTGGTTGTCCCACAAAGAGAACTGATTGCTCACCCCCAACCCCTGAATTGTCCCTGCTGCTCTCTCTCTGGTTAACTGTCAATACCATGACCCCAACCCCAAACTTCTTACCTACTTGCCTTAAGGAAAGGAGTGGAGGAGCAGAGATACCCTATGGGTGGGGTATCCTATGGAGGTGCTGGAGAAAGACTGTGGCAAGGGCCCAGGAGGGGTCTATGGTCTGTATTGGGTCAAAGGTGTCTCTGAGGCAGCACAGGCCACTCTCCTTAATCCATGTTTTCCCCCTCCATTTTTGGGGCTCTCTCCAGGGTAATATCATCTCTCTTTTTTCCTCACTGTCCACATCCTACTCAGCATAAGCAAGCTTATCTATCTATTTATAGGTTCCCCTTAGAGCATGACTTTGGGCACAATTGTATATGAAGTCTGACCCTCAGTCATTATTGTGATAACAAATCTCCTTTGAAGGTTTCAAATGCCCTGTGGGCAGGTTGGTAGAGATGCTAATAACTTCAGAATCTTAATTTGCCCTGCACAGCTATCACCTCAGTACACCCTTAGAACCAAGGTGGTTTCTCAAAGACATTTTGAAGCCTGTCCCTACGACATCTTAAATCCACATCTTCATCTAGTAAATTGACCCTACTCCTACTCCCAAACAGATCTGGTACTCCTCCTGAATCTGCCCTGCCCTGAGTCCTTTTACTTTGGTGGACCAATTCCACAACCACAGAGTACATTCTCCAGGTCATCACATTTTCTAGAACCTTTAGGCTACATTTACCTCAACCCAAAATCTCTAAGCCAGGAAGAGTGTAGATTCTAAGGCAGAGCCGATATGGTCAATTTTAAGGTGAGGTGTCCACCACCTCCAGAGCTTCATAATGTGGTGCTTTAACCCGTTGCACCACTAGGGAGAGCCCATAAATTATTATTATTGTTTTAAAGAAATTAAAGCAAAGCAGAATCTGAGGCTGCAATTCTAGTCCACTACTTATAAGGTGTGTGACTACCCTGAGCAGATGGAGAGGCAGGTGCAGTGAGCCACTCCAACTCTACTACGTGGGCAATCAATACATCATGCCAGGTCAGTATCTTCTACTTCCATATCTTCCATCTACCTGAATGACTTCAAGAACCAGTGAAGGAACAATCATCACTACTATAGTCTTCCTTGGGCAGCAGTCCCTCCCTGTGAGGATTTTGCTTTCTGCTTCTTCACCAAGGCTCTCACACTCCCTTTGCTTCATCTGTCTGTTTCCCTAAACAGCTTGGGGGTAGAGATATGGGCTAGAGAGGAAGGAAAGGGCACCATACCTAGTAGAGGAAGTGTAGGTACACATGATACAGGCTGTATGTACACACTCTATGACTAATGATCTGTTTTCTTTACACTAAAACTCTTGCTGATATTCCTGGCTTGACATTCCTGGCTTGATGATGCTCAAGTGAGTGCTGGACATGGAGGCCATCAGATGTACTAGGTTAAGATAACCAAGAGGCTAATAATAAAGGGCCTGAATGTGACCAATACCAGGAACATTAACTGTGATGGATTGTTCTGACTGGCTTATGACTATTTGTCTTTGTTCAACTTCATACAAAAGGCCAGCTTGAGATAAGAAGGCAGAATGGTTTCTTCAGGGTGTTTTGCCCCCCTTCTCTCAGATTGCTGCCCAGTGATCTGAAAAATAAAAGTGCTTATAGATTCAATTCCTTTCTCTGCTTATTGGGTTTTGGGTACTGACAGGCAGCACCAGCACCCACGCCTATGCCACTATCAATAGGGGCTATGTCCTTTTCCTCCTCTCTGGGCTCTCAGCCTCAGCCCTGTGCCTGACATATGGCTGGCTCCCCTTTCATCCAGTAAATGCTTGTGGAATGAGTTTGATATCAGTCTGAACTATGTAGAGTTCCCTTCTTCATAATACTACCTGGATTTATAGCAGTAAAAATTATTTATTTGCTAGGTAGAGACTCCAAGGTGAGTGGAGAGCATTGGGATTGAAGTCTGAACTTTTGGGCCTTTTTCTGGGTTCTGTTAATTTATTCAGCCTGTCACCTTGGGGATAACAATGTCCTCAAAAGGAGATTTGGCCCCAGGCAGGAATTCTTAGATAGGGATCCACAGACCCCTAAGGGTCTATAGAGAGACCTTTCTGTACTTGTTGCCAGAATCACTCTGCATTCAGTGGAGAAAGGCTATAGGCTCCCAGATAGTCAGGAACTGCTAATTTGGATAATCTGAGTCTCTACATACTGGATCCTGGTACATTTTCTATTTAAGAAAGGAGGAGGCACTAGGGAGCAGCAGAGATGGCTGGCACCTTTCCCACATTCCTACTGCCATTCCAAGGCCCATCTGAGATGGACTTTGTCAAGGGAGCCCTGGAAGAACCACAGGGCTGACTATAGGTCCCTGAACTTTAGTGAAGCAGGGAACAAACCAAAATCCATAAAGCTTTTAAAGGGACAGGGGAGCAGGTTACAAAAGGAAAATGGCTGGAAAGTGAACCTGATGCTAACTAAGGAGGTAAAAAGAATAGGCACTTTAAAGCCATGAAGACTATCAAGATCCAGAAGTCGGACACCTGAAGAGGAACAAAGCTCTTGTGGAGGGAAGAAGGAGCGGGCACTGAGTAACTACTGAATGCTGAGTACTCTCAGGATAATAATAATCTTGCAAAGGAGGTTTTATCGGCTCAAGCCAGAGAGATTAAATATAAGTCCCATATCTTTTAAGAGTCCCTCTGGTCCCCCTTTCTCCCTTGCACTGTCTGCCCACAGAAGTTCAAGGCAGGTCTAAATCAGGCAGCCTTGCTGGTGTCTCTTCTGAAAAGTGCAATGACAAGAGGCTGGACTCCAAATCTGTGACTGGCAAAGGAAGAAAGCTTCAATCATTTTGCAACTGGTTTGAGCTCCAACCACGTGCTGGTCACAGGGCTAGGTCCAGAACGCACCTACAAGATCCCAGTCCTCAGCACCTTAGCAATAACAGGCAGCTGCCCCCTCCCCCCCAAACACATACACAACATGGTAACCAGCTGGGATCTGGGCCGCCACAGCATGCAAGGTGCTGGGCCCAGCGCCTGGCGGCTGAAACTGGGGCGCTGGGGCTGCGGTTGGCTATAGAGTCAGGCAGTCGGGCAAGGTCAGGTTGGGTTCCCCATTCCCTTTTCCGTTTTACCAGGCGCAGGTCCCCAGGTCCGTGCACCACCAGGGAGAGATTCTCGGACTTTGTCGCCGCCATGTCGCTCTCTCCCACTCGTGTCGAGGCTGCACTCCGCAGCACGCTAGAGGGTTCTGGTGACAGCCCAGCTGAGGGTCGGATGTAAAAGGAAGGAGGCCGGGTTTGGGTCCGCGGCGCGCGCCCGGCAGGGGCGGGGCTTCACGGTCCTTGACAACCGGGGCGGGGCTAGCGCGGAGGGGCGGAGTTAGACGGAGGGGCGGGGCCGCGCTGTTCCCTCCCCTGCGTGGGACCGTAGGCGCCGGCGAGCGGGCTGGGAGCCCCAAAGCAGCCTGCTTAAGTGGCGCACGATTTGTTTGCCTCACGTTCAAGCAGATTTGCTGGCCCGAAAGTAGCCTACAGAGGCAATAGCCGCCAGAGCAGCGTTCTCAAACTTCAGCAGCAAAAGAACAGACATGAGCACTGTGAGGCAGATTCTCAGGACTGAGATTCTGATAGGGTAAGTCTAGGTCTAAAGTGAGGACGGACAGTCTGAAAATTAGCACTGGGAATGCTGAGGCTAAAGGCCCACGGTGGGCTAGACTTTGAGAAACAGGTGCCTCGGTAATGCCGCGTCTATGTTGGCCCCGTGTCCCCAGTAGCCAAGCAAAGTGCCAGAAATGAGTGCGAATGAATGGATTGGCTCATCACCTCACAACCTAATGTGTAAGTGTGAAGATGCTGTGGAAAGGAACCCGTGAACCCCTTTCTCTTAACCGACTATATTAGAAGCAAGATATCTGCCCAAAATCGTTCAAGCCTTTCTTCCCTCAGAGAAACAGTGAAGGGAGATAAGTATCCAATCCATAAGCCTGAGTCTGTCAAGTCCCTCCCAGCCCTGTTCTGAGAACACATTTCAGGATTTCTTTTTCTACAGCCCCTTCTCCCCCAGGCATGCAAGGGATCCCCTTACATCCTTCCCTTTCCCTAGAACCTGTCCCTCCCCCCTTCACTACACGTGGGACACAGTTTGTTTTTTACGGATAATGACCCCTTGCCCAAATACACTGGAAGCCCACTGAAGGTAAGGTCTCCTTTCTTTCTTTCTTTCTTTTTTTTTTTAAAGATTTATTTATTTGTGCATACAGAACTGGGGTACAGGCCAGAGGTGCAGGGGCGGTGAGAGGATTCACCAGACACAGAGCGGGGAGCAAAACAGGCAGATCATCGAAGTACACAACTGAGGGGAGCAGCGGGTGGGTCAGGAGAGGTCTACCGGGCCATGTGGTCACCCCCGGGACAGGTGGGTATTGAACTCATGCTGCAGTGGCTTTAGCTTCTTAGTTCTTAGTGCTTTAACCCGCTGTGCCACCTGGGAGGGCCCAGGTCTCCTCTCTTAAACAGAACCTGGCAAGGTGTCTGTACAGTCTAGGAGCTCAAGAAAATATTTGATGGTAAATGTGGTTCAAACTCTAGAACTGCAACAATGACAAAGGTGTGTGTGTGTGTGTGTGTGTGTGTGTGTGTAGGCTAGCTCAGGGAGGATGTATAAACTCGTTACAGGCTCTGACAAGGTGATGAGGCCACAGGATAGATTTGTGCAGGGGATTTATGGAGGCAGTCATGTTCTTTGTTTTGAGAACCCTCCTCCAAGATTCGCTGTGCTTGGCCTGTTTCTCCAGCACCTGCTGCACTCAGCTCCTGAGCAGAACTTGCTTGGAAAGATGACTAACTAGGAATTACATGCCTCATCCATTTGAATTTAAAACTCAACTACCCTCCTTGCTTTGTGGGGTTCCTTGCAATTGCCCAAGCATGTCTTTCCAATGGGTGAAGCTGAAGATGGAGAAAGCCCCAGGAATGGCTTAAGAGCTGCGGGCTACTTGAAATAGACACTTCTTGACTTTTAACTTAAGAAAAACAGAACATCAGGATCAAAGCAAAGGTCACTAAAATGACACAGTGGTAGTGGTATTTGTTTTCTCCTGAATAATAACACCTTGAAACTGTCTTCAAGGTTGTTGAATGGGAACAAAGAGATTTGAAGGGGTAGGAGACAATTTTTAAAATGTGTATATTCTATAACTAAGACTATATAGGAAAGTAAAAAGGGGGGCCCTCCCTGATGATGCAGCTGGTTAAAACATAGCACTATGAAGTTCTCCAAAACCATTGCAGCATGAGTTCAACCCCCAGCC